CCCCCCCCCCGGTCCCCCCCCCGGTGGGTTTGGAGTCTCCTCGCATCGCCCTAGAATGACCGTTCAGGTAAGCCAATGGTCTTTCTCCAGTGCGCTGCTATGCCTAAGCTATAGAGTCCCAGGATAGGTAAGAGCCAGAGCCTCCGGAGTTTCAGCAACTCTCTGCAAGATTCTTCTTCCGAAGGAGGCTTAGGCTGAGGCAAATGTGTCTATTTTATAGTTTTTAATAAAGGCGGTGGGGGAGGCCCACGTGGCCACCCTGCAAATGTCCAGAATAGATGCCTGGGTCACCCAGGCTGCTGACGCTGCTGCGCTCGTAGTAGAGTGTGTGGTGATCTTGCACGGGGCCGTCTTGCCCTGATGTTCATACACCAGCTTAATGCAAGCGCATAGCCAATGACCTACAGTGTGAGATGAGACCTTGCAGCCGAGAGACCCAGGAAGGAAGGAGATGAAGAACGCCTCTGAACGACGGAATTCCTTAGTCCTTTTTACATAAATGCGGACGGCCCGCCTCACGTCCAACTTGTGCTATTCACGCTCTCTAGGGTGAGAAGGTTTAGGACAAAAGTCAGGCAATATAATCTCTTGAGATCTGTGGAACAGAGAGTTAATTTTAGGGGTAAATGAGAGATCGAGTCTCAATATAACCCTGTCGGTGTGGATCACGCACAGGTCCTCCCTGACTGAGAGAGCCGCCAATTCGGACACCCTGCATGCAGAAGTGATAGCCACCAGAAAGGCAGCCTTGATGGTCAGGTGGCATAGACTAGACGTACGCAGAGGCTCAAACGGGGGACCCGTCAGAGCCCTTAAGACAAATGGTAGGTCCCAGGATGGGTAACGGCGGACCGTTGGGGGACTGATGTTTGCTGCGCCCTTCAGAAAGCTCTTAATTTGAGGGTGCTGGCTGAGAGAACGAGACAAGCCCCTGTCCAGGATGGTTGACAGCGCTGCAACCTGACGCCTGAGTGTACTGGGCGCCAGACCTTTATCTAGACCCTCCTGTAGGAAGTCCAAGGTCTGAGGGACTGAGGCTGAAAAGTCAACAATGTCTCTAGCCTTGCACCACGCTGAGAAGGCGGCCCAGGTGCATTGTATATTCTGGTAGTGGAAGGT